GAGCTTAGGAAGGAAGATTTCTGAGTGTCTCAGATGGTGAAAAAATATTTCTAGTAATACAGATATGCATATCACATGCATATGTATACATGTATATATCTACACAATATAATACAATGCATACATGCGCATAAATACGTGTACACATGTATAAGTTTATGTACACATGTGTGTACACACATATAACTATACATATACTATACATGAGTAAAATAGTTTAATCCTATAGCAGAAGAAAAGTAGGAGGGATTTTGGCAACTGGTGAAACTGTACTTAATAAATTTAAATTTAAAGTAAATCTAAATCGTTAATGAATTGAAAGAAAAGTTCTTCTCAATCCCAAGGACCTAGATTAAGTGGTGAGGGATCACAATTGACAGCTGGCTTTTCTATAGCTTTTTAAGGTTGATAAAGCACTCATCTCATTTGATTCTCACACCGACCCTGTGAAGTAGGTGCTATTATTGTCCCCATTTCATAGATGAGGAAACTGAGGTTGAGAGAAGTTACATGATTTTTTCCAGGGCCACAACCTATACCATGTGGTTGAGACAGGATTTGAACTGATCTTAAGTATTATCCTGATTTTGAAATTATACCTAGATGATTGCATTCCTTCAATACGGTTGTTTCCTATAATAATACAATAATTTCCTAAATTATCATATTTTAAAGTAGAGTGATTAACATTTGAGCTTAGCTGCTTTGAAAAAAGATTTTTATTTTAATTTTAAAAATACAGAGTAGATAAGGTGAAGGTCTTTCCCTCAGTGAACCATACTTAGCAGAAGTGCAGACTGCAAGGTCATTACCTTCCCCTTGATACAAGCTTACCCTACTTACAGGCAAAGTACCTAGAGGGAAATAAATAACTAACTTTCTAACGTACTAGCCTTGTAAATCCAAACCAGTAAAGCAAGGGCAAACATCACAAATGTGTTTTCACTCTTGGGCCTAACATTCAGTCCAAGTATTTACCACCTGTGATGTTTTGGCCCGGAAACATGCTGTCATTTGTTTTAATTTGAGCCAGCTTCAGCTTTACAGATATATAAACAGGTAAAAAAGATAAACATTTAAGGGGGTGGCTGACTGTGTAGTGTAGAACAATGAACTCTGCTGACAGAGTAAAAGTTGCAAGCTCAATAAATGCTGTCTGTGTGTCTTGTGAAATGCTTAGGAGGAGGTTCAAGGTCTCATTCCTGTTGGCTATTATTCTGCTTATCCATCTTCTTTTGATTGCTCTACCCCTTTGCCCCCCAACAATGTCAAGTTATTCATTAAGTTAAAAATGTTGGGAGATTGAGAGCCTCATGTAGAAGCTACATTTATTGAGGAATGTAGGGGTAAAAATGACCTGTCACTCTAATCCACCTTCTTCCTTCCTTTCTTTTCCCTTTCCCCTCTCTCCTCTCCTCTCCCCTTTCCTCTTTCCCCTTATCCTTTTCCTTTCCTCTTTCATTTCTCTTCCCTTCCTTCTCAATCTGTGACTCTTTTACCCTTCTCTTTCCATTATACTGACCACCTCTTAATTAATAAAGAGTACAATAGTACAAATGGATTAGGGATTGATTCTCTTTGGAATCAGTTTCTTCATATCATATCTGTTAGAGTTAACTTACAATATTTGACTCTCAGTCCTGTCGTTATAACTGAACATGCTAAAATAAATGTCCCCATCATTACGTGAATTTGGAAAGTGAAAGAATAATAAATAATGAGGCAAGGGAATATAAGAGAGGAAATCTTATTCAACCCTTAGTAGTAGAAGAGACAGTATGGGAATTTGGGAGTTGCTGAGAACTTGACCTAGAACCAGGAAACTTGGGTTCAAATCCTGACTTTTTCATTAATAAACTATATCATCTTGGGAAACTGGCTTCACCCCTCTGGGCCTCAGTTTCCTCATCTGTAGAACAAAGGAGGTGGATGAAATGATTCCTCCTATCCCTGACATTTCCACAAGGTGCTTAATCTGCAATGAAGCATGTTGCCTGGTTTACATATATATTTTTGTCTACAAAAACAAAATTGGACACATTGCTGCCTGCCTTTCTGAGCAGATAACTTGTTTCCATATACATACCTGTAGATATTTCTATTCCCTTGAACTACAGAGCTGCCTTTCATCTCACAAATTGCCCCTCAAGTAGGGCAGTTTTCTGAGGGGTGATTTTTATCATAAACCCAATCTAGAGTGTGACTCCCAACCTCTTAGGTCACAGTTGTGTCAAGGCCAAAAGTGATGGAGCCTACCTCAGAGTGTAGAATGCTTCTTCTATCCAGTGACATCAGTAACAAAATTCAAGTCTCTTGAATGCATCCTAAGACAATGTCAGAACACACTAGATGGTGCTGTTATCCTAACAGCCATCATGAATGTGGAAACACTGGTTGTTTAGAAAAACCTAGAATAGCAAAGATATCTGCTTGCACATCTTGAATTAGGCAGCAACAGATTATTTGACTCTCTTTCCCCATCTTCACCCTTTACTCAGATCCTGCTTGCTGAAGTTCTCTTGATTGTTTATATTGATAATCTCCACCACAGCTTCTTCCTTCTCTCTCTCCCCCTCCCCATTAGACAGAAGAATACTCCGTAGGAAAAGAAGTGTGAAAAGGATGAGAAACGTTCTGACATAGTGATTAGGATTCACTTTGGATTTTATATTTTAAACAATTCAATCAAATGACATGATATATGTGAAGTGTTTTGCAAACCTTAAAGGACTAGATAAACACTAGCTATTACTTTTGTTGTCATCATTATCATCATCATAATCATCATTGCCTGTCTTCATGGAGGGCCTATTTTATTTTCAGGAGAAGGAAAACTTCCTCTCTATGTAGAAAGAATGTGCAGATCTCTAATATCAGATATAACAAAACCAGGATGGACATTAATTGACTTTCAAACATACTATCTCAAGGATTTGGGTTTCTTCAGCAACAAACCTGAGCAAAAGCATTGCTTTAACTGAATTTCTGTGAAACCAGCCTCTTTCTAATTAGAGAATTTCAGAATTTGGAAAAAAAAAAACCCTTAAAATCCTTTACTCCAAGTCCCTAATTTTGTAGAGAGGGTTCAGACAAGTCGAAAGGTTCAAATGAAGGTACATTTTTTCAAGGTCACACAATGACTTAGTGGCCAAGAAACACCTGAAAGTTTAACCTCACTTCTCCCAGTTCAATGCCTCTTCTACTATATCAGAGGTGTCAAACGCAGGTGGAAATATGTTACTCAAACCAGATTAAAATATAATTATGAAATATTTAACAAAATAAGTAAAAATGCAATAGAACATAATGTTAATATGTGGTTTTCTAAGACAATAGGTGACCCTACAAAGCTCCTTATGTATGGTTTAGTGGTCTCCATTTCTATTTGGGTTTGCTATCACTGCATTGTACCCTGTGGTACTTCTCTACTTTTCCCTTATTTTATTTCACTCTAATGTCCCTCATTTTTCAATTAATTAATCAATAAACATTTATTAAGTGCCTATTATGTGTCAAGAACTGGGCTAAGCTCTGGGGGTAAAAAAAAGAAGCAAAAGACAGTTTATGCCCTCCAGGAGTTCACAATCTAATGAGGAAGGCAATATACAGGATAAATAGGAAATCATTAGCTGAGAGAAAGTACTAGAATTAAGAGGTGTTGGGAAAGGATTCTTGTAAAAGCTGGGGTTTTAGTTGCGTCTGAAAGGAAGCTAAAGAAACCAGTAGGCAGAGTTGAGGAGGAAAAGTGTTGCAGGCATGGAATGCCAGACTAGAGAAAATGCCTGGAGCTGAAATAGTGTTTTGTTCATGGAACAGCCATGTTCCATGTCACTGTGTCCAGATATAGTGTCACTCGATCTAAGAGTATATCATGGGGAATAAAGTATAAGAAGACTACAAAGATAGGAGAGAACAGGTTAAGAAGGACTTTGAATTCCAAATAGAGGATTTTGTGTTTTTTTGAACCTGGAAGCAATAGGGAGCTATTGGAGATTGTTGAGTGGGGGTGGGGGGGTGACCCCACACTTCAGGAAAATCACTTTGGTGGGTGAATGAAGGATGGACTAGAACAGGGAGAAATAAGGCAAGCAGACTCACTAGCAGGCTATTGCAATAATTAAGGTACAAGGTGATAAGGGCTTGGGCTAGAGTTCAGGCAGTGTCAGAGAGAAGGAGGTATAGTCAAGAGATGTTACAAAGGTGAAAATGACAGACTTTGGCAACAGATTGGATATGGAAGATGTGAGATAGTGCAGAGTTAAGGATGATTCCTAGATTATGATTTTTCATCAATATCATTTTGATGCTTCATCAAGTTGTGGAGGTCACCCTAGATTCTCAAAGGCTTTATCAAGACAGTGTAAAATGGATCACTGTAGAGCAAGTCCAAGTACAGGTTTGGTGACTGATTGTCTGTCAAGGAAGGACGAGCCTAAGTTTGGAAAGACTTTTCCTTGGGTTGGCCTTAGGGTGATTAATTTTTTAGCCACAGCAACTCTCAAAACTGATCTTAGTCACAGAGAGGTAGGACCCAAGATGGCACTCAAATTCCCAGAAGTGAGTTTCGCAGAGCATGTTAGTGTAGGCAAAGGCTATGCACCAAGGAAGAGCAGGTCCCAGGCTCATAGAGAGGCACCTCATCCTCACGGAGAATATGAAAACAAGGGACACATGGCAATTTTGTTGCTGATTACTCAGTTCTGGGTAACAGCTCCAGGGCAGACTTAGGAGAAGACCTGTGCATAGCGATGGTGTTTCAAAATAAGGAGCAGTTGAAAGCCTACATGGTGTATTGAGAATAGCAGATTCAGAAGCAAGCAGCATCAATGTGCCTAAAGACCCCAAAAGGATGTGTGGTCTCAGTTCCTACTTGTAATGTAGTTTGAAACTGGGAGAGGAATATTCATGGCAGGAATACTAGGTCAAAGCAAAGCTTGTAGTTCTGTCACTGAACCAGCAGAGCTTTCCAGTTGACTACTTTTGTTCACCTCTATATCCAGGTCCAGAACTTGCAGAGTTCAGATCAAGGGTGCAGTAACCAAACACTGAAAGCTTAAAGATCCTGAGCTACCCCCAAGATCCTGGAACAACATAGCAAGAGCAGTAGCAAGACCAGCCCAGACCTTTCCCAGAAGTGCACAGAACTCATGTATTAAGTCTGAAGTCAGGAAATAAATGGAAAGAATGAGCAAACAAATCCCATCATAAAAGCTATTTTGGTGATAGGAATGCTCAAGCCAAAAACTCAGAAGAATGGCTTTGAAACATCTACAAGCAAAGCCTGAGAGAAAAACACTGCTTGAGCACAAATCACCTAGAATTCTTGGAAGAGATGAAGCAAGAGTTAATTTTTTTAAATAAAAAAAAAACAAGAGCACTAGAGGAAAAATGGAAAATAAATGAGAGCTATGAAAAAAAGAAATGGAAAAGTAATTAACAGCTTGGCACAAAATGTGTAAAACGGTTTTTTTCCAGGTAATATACTCTATGAAGATTAGAATGGACTGAATAGAAGCCAATGACTCCATGAAACAACAAGACATATTAAGGAGAAAGCCAAAAGTTTGAAAAATAGAAGAAAATATAAGGTATCTTGTGGCAAAAAACTACTGACTTAACAATATATTGAGAAGGAAAAAAATTAAGAATTATTGACCATGACCAAAAAGAAAAAAGCCTAAAGATCATATTTGAAGAAATCTTAAGAAATAAAAACTAGTTACATCTCTTAGAATCGAAAGGAAATATAGAAATAGGAAGAATTGACTGGTTACCTAAAAAAACTCGGAAGAACAATTTATACAATAATAATGATATTATAAAGACAAACACCTTTGAAAGACTTAAGAATTCTGATCAGTGCAATGACCAACCATGATTTTTGAAGAATGATGTTGACCACCCACCTCCTGATAGAGAGGTGAAAAACTCAGAGTGCAGAATGATACATACACTTATGCACATATATATTTGTCATTTATTTTGGATATGGAAAATGCGGAAATTTATTTTGCTTGGCTATACATGTTTGTAATAGGGCTTTTCTTTTCCCTTCATTATCAATTGAGAGGTAGTTAGGAGAGAGAGAAGGCAGATTTTTGCCAAGTGAAAATAAAATTTATTAAAAATAAAGACAAAAAGATTGTGTTCTGCATTGGTGGAGAAATCAGCAATCCTTAAAGTAATATCATCTACAATTACAATCTTTCCCAGAACAGATATGTAGGAGAATAAAACATGTCAGAACAGCATAAACATAATCCAGATTTTCCTCAGCATGAACATTCGTAGAATTCTCTTGTTTTGGGGTAGCATAAGCTTTCATTTTAGGCAAGGTAACTTAGTGGAAAAAGTGGTGACCTTAAAGCCAAGAGGATCTGTGTTCAAGTCCCCTCTCAGACACATAACCTCTCAATGCTTTAGGCAACTCTCTGAGACTATAAATTGCAGAAAAGATATCAACCTGCATTGATAGAGGAAGTTTCCTCACCTGGGATATCCCTTTATTAATGAAATCATAGATCTGGTCCCTATTCCTATAATAATCATTAGTTTGTTCCCTCTCCCACCCCACACCCCTTTTATAAGTATGGGATAAGCAAAACATTGACATGGATGATTAGAGTCCTCACCTCATTTATTCTGGACTTTTGGTTCCCTTTCTTTAATTGCATGTCACATGACCCTCTGTACTCTATTCATCATTCTTTCTAAATTGAAACCAGAGTTCAGAGCCCTAGGGAGAGTTTGCATTTCTAGGAGAAGTGAGCTCAGGAATTTGTGTCAAGTGTAGGAATTGGTGCCAGATCGTATTGCTTTAATGAATTAATGGTATAGTAGCTTGTAAATTACTCAATCATTTTGTGTCTCAGCCAATTGAGAGTTTTACCTCTTGGAATGTTATGGGACAAGATAAGGTACCTCCTATGTTTAAAGGTAAAGGTATGGACAGCTTTCTCCTAAATGCTTAGTTCACAGAGAAAGAACATCTGGATTTCTGTGCCCATATATGCATATTTTTCAAAGAGAGTTCTTAATTTCATAATGCCATGTCTCTCTTAAATATGGCCAAAGTACAGATAAGACCCAACACAATCTGTCTCCAATCTACAGTGTTTTCATACTTATTTTGGATTACTCCCCTTCATACACTCCATTTTCTAGACAAAAATGGCTCAATCTATCCTGCACAGTCTATACATTTATCCAAAGCATTGCTTACACCTATAGTACATTCTCTTCTTACATTTCTCTGTTAAAATCTTTCTCTTCCTTTAAAGCTCTACTCATGTGTCATGTTTTTGATGAAATCCTCTTGGTTCACTCCCTTATCCCACTAGAAATTGTCTCTCCTGCCTCACACACCACATATCTAACTTTGTTATACATGTGCATGCACACACACATATGAAATTATTTGTGTACATATCAGGCATTGTGTTAGGCATTGGGAAAATACAGACAAAAAACAATTGCCTTACTAGATTATAAGCCTTTTGAGGGCAGAAGCAGATGTCATTTTTCATCATTGTATCCCCAGTCTCAGAACAAAGTATTGTACATCTTGGGGCTTAATAAATGGGGGTTTTTTTGGTATTAACATTTTAATATCATCATACTTCCAAATGTACTGATCCCCATCCACTAGAATTTCAGCAAAGACCCTTAAAATTGGTATAGACAATAAAAATGCCTCATTTACAAAGGGCATATGAAATGGATGAAAGCATGGTATCCATTTATTAGTAAAATGCTGACATGAGAATCCAATCTGTTGGTGAACTATACCAATTATAAGGCACATTGTCACTCAGAAAGAGAATAAGAAATATAGATATGTCCTACAACCTTGAGCAACTGTTTCATAAACCCAATATCAGGGCCTACTGATGGTGGAAAATAATGTGGTCACTGAGGCAAGGAGGCCTGAGGAGCCCTATTTAGCACCTGTTTTTTTCACTTGCATTTCACAGAAAACTGGAAGAGACTTTGGAGGTCATATAGTCCCACTCTCACACTTTGTAGAGAGGATAAGTGATATGTGTAAGGTCACATGAGTGGTAAGTGACAGAACCAGCACTAGAATTCAGTTCCTCTGTTTCAAAGTTAATGCTATTTTCATAACATGAGGAGTAAATAAGAAGCTAGAAAGAGTCCAGAACAATGCTTGATAGTCTCTAGAATCACCATCTTATTTCTATGACTGATAGAGTCTCAAGGTCTTTAGTCCATCCACCAACATCCTAAATCAAAAACAATTTGTTTCAATTTTAACAATTAGGATGATTGAGTTCCTGCTAAACTAGCCCTTTTCTGATGGGAAAACAAAACTACTGCGGTGTGAAAATAACCAGATTTACACAGGTTATCACTATATCAAGTTACCATTAGATCAGTAAACCAAGCTAGACTTCCAGATAAAGGGGAGTTCAATGAAAAAAGGTAACGAATGTCATTTCTTCTGGAGAGATCTTTCCCCTTAGAGATATTGCTATCAGGGCTTAGCCTTGTGGTCTGGCACTGCTTGTCTCCAACCTCCCAAATTTGACATGGATGACTGATGACTATGCATCCTCCTAAAATAGAAGCATGATGCTACCCACCACTAGCACACATGCCTCCCGTCATGAAAACTACTGATAAGGGGAAAGAAAGGCTCCAGAAATATCTAAATAGACTCATCAAAACACCACCAATAACCCACAGGCTGATTTTAACTCACCTGGTTGGCAGCAACATTGACTTATGGAGAAAATTACAAGGTCACATAAGGGTAGAAAAATTACTTAACAATGGCCATCTCTTTCCCTGAGCATCTCAAAAATTTATTGACGTCTTTCATTTTTACATTAACTTCATTTCCAGATGTCTCTCTCCCCTTCCCACCCAGAAATACATCTTTATAACAAAAATTGAAAATGAAAAAGTAAAAAAAAATGCAGGTTGGTAAAACTAAAACATCAATCAAGTCTGACAGCAAAGGCAGTGTTCAACATCCATAGATGACCACTACTGCAAAGAAGAGAAGAAGATGCATTCTCATCTCTCTTCACGAGAGCTAAGCCAATTGTCAAATATTGATTAGTTTTTTTCGTTCACCTCAGAAAGAAAATGACATGGGGATTCATTCAAAATTCAAATCTTGGTAGGTTGCAAAAGTGGGACTTGAACATTATTCAGATTACTTTGAGCATCCATGTCTGTCAGTCAATAAATATTTATTAAGTGCCTACTGTGTACCAGATTCTGTGCTAAGCATTGGGGGTACAAATAAAAGCAAACAAAACAAAACAAAAAATCTGCCCTCAAAGACCTCACAGTCAAGTGGGGGAAGACAACATGTGAAAAAAGGTGCAAAGGTGGGAAGAAGGGGTATCCATTCATTGTAGGGGCATGATCAAATCCTCAACTTGGGTAGGAATTTATGAGATGGCTACCATGTGTACTCCCATTAAATGAAAAATCTGGAAGCCCTGCTTAGATGGAGGATCTGGATGGAGTTCTTCAATATCCCTCTCCAATCAGTGGGAAGCAGAATCCCCAGGGGCAGACAGAACTATCCTTGCCTATCTATCCTTGTATAATTTATTTTTGGAACTAATTCATAAATGTATATTTACTTGCTTTATGTGTCCCTGACACTGGTTGCAGCTCATCCATGATCACCCATCTCATGTGACTCTTACCATTGTCTTCTCATAAATTCTCTCTAGGGGATCCACCCAACTTGCTTAGGATCAAATTCGAGCTTTCTTGATGTGTGGCTATCGGTGGGACAAATGTGTTTTTCATCATTACCCCTTTACTCTCACTATATGGCCCCGTTCTTTTTGGTCATGTATCTTTCTGATGACTTGGCCTGTTATTCTAGCTTATCAAACTGTCATCCAGTTTCATCACCAAGGACCCCTCTGAGTTTGCTCCCCTTCCCAGCCATCCTGGTCCATGGCATTATTTACCTGTTAATCCTGAGGCTGTGAAAGTGTTCTTGATGATAATAATAATAGTAATAACTCAATTTTGTGTAATGCTTTAAGGTTTCCAAAGTGTTTCCTCGTAACAACCCTGACACATAGGTAATTCAAATTTTGTCACTATTTTACAGGTGAGGAAACTGAGATAGGCTTTGTTTATACCTTATGGAAAGAAGTTTTGATCTTTTGGATTTGGGCCTATGCCACTATGCATGCTTGATGATGTACATAAATCACATCAGCTTTGGATATTTTTACCTCTTATTTTTCCAGTGAAAACAAATTCTTATAAGTCTGTTTAGAAATAGATATTAAATAATTTCCATCTCTCAGTTAACAGGGTGGGGTACTGTATTGTGAAGGTTGCATACCCTGTCATACATAGTCATTGCTGTGGTCTGTT